TACATCCTGAATAAGAACCTTTCTCTAGAACTCAGGATGTCCCAGTATCTCCTGGGCAGCTTGTCCTATGCACTTGAATCATTAACAGAAGGCACTTCAGACTACTCTGAAGTCTCTTTAATAATATTCTATCCTTGTGTCCACTGTATCTTTTAACTCTTGACTTTTCCTCAAAACTGAAACTGCAACTGAAGAAAGGTTAAAAACCTAATCTGGAATTTAAAAGTGAACAGTTTTATTTCCTTATTCCCTTATAAGTTCAAGCAGAGAATTTTGCTCACACACCACTTCAGCTAACATGATTTCTTTTGTCCAGCAGGGTAATTAAGTAGTACGCAAAAACATTCTGGCTGTCAAGAGTCATTCCTGTTACAAGTCGTGAGATTATTCCCTAAGGCTGTGTATCACAAAGAGAGCAATCTCTAGCTGTAGAGACTAGGAAAAGCAATACAAAGAAATGCTTAAAAAGTTCTAGGCACCACCTCTACAGATTCATCATCAAAAATCCCAGCAGGCTTCTTGGCCACTCAGAATCTCTCTGGATTTGAAACAATCTTCTTGATCCAAGGGGAGTTCTCTTCTTCAAAGGAGGTGGCCAACTCCACTGACTTGACAAAGAGAAGAGGAAAGTGGGAGATACAAATTCACCTTTTTACTAGTTTTGTTGCCTAGAAGAAATATGCCACTTTTACATCTGTGCAAAAAAGCTGCAGGTAAGGTCTTCAACAATTAAAATTCTTATTAGTAAGACACCTTTGCTGATACAGAATGAAAGTTATTTGACAAAATGGGTCCAAGTAAATATTGTTAATATTTCACACAGCATCAAAACAATGTCCTCCCAGAACTTCCAGCAACAGTCCAAGACACTACAATAAAATAAATAAACCAGGATGTTATGCTGGGTAGAAAATTATGTAGGCATTAGGAAGACAAATCACACTAACAAAATTCCAGACCTAAAGAAGAACTGTGTTCACACAGACTGTGAGAACTGTAATATGGGGCACCTACCAAAATATGACAACAACTCTCACATGATGATGATCACAATATATACTGAGAGTGATACAAAGTATGGTACTGATATTTTCCGAATAAAACAAGGTACAACTGCCAGTAACTTTCTTTTCAACTAGATAGAAATTGACAGAAGTACAAGAATTCTTGAAATTATAAACAAAAAACGCCATGCACAGCTTTTTTCACTCACTATTATAGAATACCTCACTAGTCTGTAAAGTGTTTAATTTCTGTGCCTTTGCAAAGCTATAAAACAAATGTATGTATGATTTTTAAAAAAATCAGAAGTTAAATATCAATAGAAAATCTTGTCCAAAAGAGCTAAAGGGAGAAGTTTAAAGTAAAATCTGTACAGATAGCATAAAGATAATTTTAAAATATCATACTGCATTCTGCGAATAAAATATGCTAGACTAAATAAATGAAGTAGTGGGGTGATAAATATGAATGCATACCATGTAAAAAAAAAAAGAAAAAAAGAAGACAAACACCAGATCTGGCAGGTTACAATACAGTAAGATATAAAAAAATATATAGAAAATAGAAATATATAGAAATATACAATAGGAATAAAAATTAAGAGAAATTAATCTGCAAAAAACCTTCCTTTTTGGGAGCAGGAATTCTCATACAAAAACCTGCAGAACTAAAAGATGACAAATATGAACATGAAAATTTAGGACCATTCTATTACATTCTTTTACAGCTGCACAGGTGAAGATACCAAATTCATTAAACATTCACTCATCTAAAGAAAAAAATTACATTCACTCTGCATAATTTATATCTACATTCTTATACATCTCCAAAGGTTTACGCAAAATATGAGTCTTGGTATTGACAGAGTCCTTGCTAAACTCAGACTTTCAAGGATTTACTGAAGAAAAGTAAGATCTAATTTGGTCTCTGTCTTCAATTCTAGGAAGAAGCAAACGCAGAGCATCATTTGATCTACTTTGATTTGGTATGGTTAATTTTAATATATCTGCTGCCTCCATGGTTAAATTGTGAACATTAGCCTCAAAGACAACAAGTCTTATTATTCTGGATTACAAACAAGTGTTGTCTTTATGAAATAAAACACTCTTCCCAAAGAAAAAAATGGATGTCTAAAACTGGAGATGCAGCACCTTGGCAGTTAAAATCAGTTCAGAGGTACCACGGGCACTTCTAAATAAGAATCTCACATTCAGAGAAGCTGATCTGCAAGCATGGACACACAGTCATGAGAAACCTTAAGTCCTATTCCATTGCCAAAGCATTGCTGTTTCCCTAGTATTTGCATCAGAGACACAGAAAATCCTCTTCGGTATGTTTTAGACATCCTACAATTAAAAATTTCAGCTGCAATGTGAATACTATAGAATGAGAATAATGAGTGGTCAATTATTCTGCATAATCATGTTTGCCTCCCCTGCTCAGTCTCATCCTCTATTTGGTAATATTCGCTATTTCATATATATTTTCCAAAAGATGAGCTAATGATGACAGACTGTACAGGAATTTTCCTTTTGGTTATGACTAAGGCATGAGTAACAGTGTGCCCAAAAAAGTATTCATCATATGTTCTACCAGCTTCAAAGCATGACCACAAACAGAATATTCTTGTTATTTCCTGTGATTATGCCAACAGCTCCATTAAATCTTTGTCAAAAGCAACCAGATCAATAAATCGAACCTTCAAATATGGCATAAAAATTGTTTAATATGAAGTCTCTTTGATATAGTACCACAAAGGAAAAAAGTCCAAGAGATGAATATATCCAATGCAACCCTAAGACCACCTCTGCCTCCCTTTACTGCCTGCCAAGGTTGCTCTTCAGTAGTACAGAAAATCTACTCATTAGCACACAATCAATTAATCACAAACATATATTCATAAAAAATTCAAAGTAAATTTCACCTTTATTTGAGACAAATAGGTAATGCTAACATCATGTTAAGAACTCATAATCACATATCAATATTATAGAATAGAAATATATTAATTATATTATTCTAAATTAAAATAATAACAACTTCATTATAATTCAAAACTAAATTAATATATTTTATGTTGTTTATATTATAAATTAATAAAAAATGAAACACTGAAATTGGTTTTTAATTTGCAAATCAACATGCCTGAAATTCAAAGCAATTTCTTTTACATGCTCCTTACACAAATCTATGAATACTACGAGATTTTTCTTGTTCTTTTACTACTAATTGAAAGGAGTGAGTTGGGTAGTCCAGGTGATCAGAATTATTCTTTGATAAATTTAAGAAATGACAGGGACCAGTTAACCAAACTTTCTGCAAAAAGTTGATTACTTCATATACAATCTATCAACATTTAAAGGAAATCAGAGGTCTTAATTAGGAAGAAAATTCTCTGAAATATGATTCCATCTGAAAAATGGACTTAAATTCATCACCTTAGAATAGGTATTTGTCAACTGTGTTGTTTTCCTCCCAACTCATTCCAGAGGATAGTAACTGCAAGTATCACAAGGAACCCTACTGTACCTGCCACAGTACTGACAGTATTTGAATTTAGCATCTTCTAGTTTGAAGCATAACTATCAGTTTTATTTAGAAATAGAAAAGACTACCCTATAGAGTTCCAACCAGAATTTTTTATTAGCCACTAGGTGCTTCCTTTTGCCAATATAGAATATATTTTGATTATCCTATTTTAAATGTATGGAGAAAACTCTGAAAGAATATATGTAGGCAACAGTTGTAAATTTTTTTTTATCAACAGGCAGTGTAACTTTATGTAAACTACTCTCTGGAGAGTTCTATTTGTAGAAGATTGTGAAACCCACCCCTGACTCACCAAATGTCACTAGCACTAAATGCACTACAATGAATATCTGCATCTCTCCATTGATATTAATCTCCATTTCTTAATCTCTTCTCTCTTTCAAATTAATAATTCAAAATATCTACTAATTTTCTTTCTAGCCTTGTATTTCAAGTTTGAGGTTTTTTTGCTTTGCCTACAAAACAAGCCCGTGTGCCTCTTCTACTTCATAAAAGATCACTATAATGCACCAAGATTGTCTAATAAAACCCCTGTAATTCTAAAATTAAAACTCACCCCCAAAACACTTTAATTTACTTTCATACTCTACCAAGCCAACATCTTTGCTATTTCCCAGTACCAGATAAGACTGCACCTTTAAACAAAACACTAAATTAGACCTGATTCAGAGACTTCTGTGTGTCTCTCCAAGTAACCACATCCTACACTAAGTCTTCCTACAAATACAACATCCTCTTTCCTTGTAAAGTAAATTACAAAGAATGCAGTTAGTTTTCAGAAACACACTCCCTGAACAGTAACACTCCAGAGTAAATGAGGGACATGCCAACATTAAATCAATCACAGGTCATCTATTCATCCCTAAGAAGGCAGTAACACAGCTTACTGACTGCAGTATCTTAAGGATCTCTCCCAAAAACACGGTTCTTAAAGAACCATATGGAAGTTTAAAAATTAAATAGTGAAACAAAGCACAGATATTCAGGTAATCTCAGTCACAAGGAAAACCTGCAGTTCCCACATCTCACAGCTCCACACTTTACTTACCAGAGGTTGTAATACTACATAATATTTTATTCTTTAAAATTTTATTTAGCCAGTTCAGAGACTTATTCAAATCAACAGAGATGACTCATACTCACTGAGATCTAAGGGTTCCCAATTATCTAAAAAATTACTGGAACACACTCTTATCAATCTGAATCACACATATTACATAAAAAACCTTATGGTTGCCTCCAGCAATCTCAGGAAAAATAAAAATTCTGACTTACAGTTAAGCCTCCACATTGTAAAAACCATGCATTGTAATTTTGTAATTCACACAGCTGCGGAATCAAAGTATGACATTAAATTCATCTAGTGGTGACTAGCAGATAAAAAAACCAAACCAAACACACTTCATATGATACGTAGAGATTTTCTGAGTTGGTCAAGCAAATCTTACCCCAGCAGAATTTTAGCATGAACCTCTTTGTTAGTCCTTGAGATTTCTCTCAAAGAGGTAATTTCTGCATCAAACCAAAATCCTCTTTCTTCTGGTGTCTCAACATTGTAGTTAACCATCACCACATCACCCACTTTTAGTTCACTCCACTTCAGAATGGTTCTTGCTCGGGGTCGAAGATTAACTGTGTCCATTTCTATGACGCCATTTTCTGGGTACCTTGAAAAGCAAAACCAACAACACCAATGATTATGACTCCTGTAAAAGCGAAAAGAAAGTCACAAAAGAAAGTCTTTTTTTTCAGAAGTTTGTAAATGTTCTTTGGGCACACAAAAAACAAAATCTGACCTAATATCCTTTTTAAAACATAGCTTTCCTCTAAATACAGACTATGAATTTGTCTCATCTCAGATGGGAAAAATAGCCTCCATGATTTTCTCAAAAAATAAAAAATAACAATAATAATAAAAAAATTACATAAACCTATATGCACTTTTCGATAATTCAGTGTTACTAGACAGCACTCTAACTAAAAATCCCAATAGAGGAATGAAACCTTTCCAAATTTGAGGTGTTTTTCATTTCAACACTACAGTTTTCTTATATTCTGCTGAATAAGGCAACTATTACTTGATACTAGAGCCTACATTTGCAAATGTGCTGGAAAAATAGCAGAATATAGATATGATCAAAATATTAATTGTAAAAAAAAAGAGCTAGCCTGTAACAAAAAGTTAAAAGATGCTGAAGTGAAGTTCCTTTTTTCATACTATGTGTAGGCAGATAAAAATGATGGGAGCTACAGGAGTACTACTACATGACTTCACAGAACACATTTAACAGAGAAAATGAAATTAGTCTACTACAAATAAACAGTTGCTATTAAAATTATTCATTCTCCCTTCTTAAGAAACAATGTTGAGGACGATGTATCTTAAATTATATTTTCATCATGCAATTACTGGCACTTTACCAAGAGGACTCACAGTTAATATACCTTTATCAAACAGCATTGCTAAATATTACTTGGAAAATCTTACTCTTACTAATAAAAGTATGACTCTACCACTTTACAACATGCCTCCTGATGATGTGGGGGGCTGAGGGACAGTGGAGATTTAGTGCTTTAAAGAAGCATGAACCACAACAGTTTAAGAGTGGGTGTACCTTCAGATAAACTAATGGCTAAGTAAAAGAACGTATCTCTAACTACTTACAAAAGTTAAATACAAAGCCTGATTTTAGATCCTAATTATAAAATTTTGCACAACAGAAGTTACATGATACAAAGACAGGTGCTTGGGATCAAGTTATTATCAAAACAGTAGTTTCATAAGATGTAACTCCACATTTACTAAGGTGCTTTTGCCCATGTAGTTTCCATATTCAGTGCATACTGAAAAGCTAACATTTGAAGTTTTGCCTTTATGTTATGCAACTTTCACCTAACAGAATTACCATACCATCATACTATATTAATTATTAATATTTTAACTGTACTATCCACAAAAAAGATGATTGATTCACCTACAGGATATAAGACAAAGCAAAAAATAGCTATAGAAATTATGCCTATTCTATTGAGTATTGAATAGCATCACATTATTGTACAACAGGCTACTGAAATCTTAAGATAGCTATGTTTGACCTATTAATCAGTGCCAAAAGTTTTACAGTAAACTTTTCCTAAAGTTTTCAGAAGACAGCAAGTAGAACATAGTAAATAAAGACTCAGTTTACTTGATCTCTGAAACCAAAATAGTGTTTAAACATCAGGAAACTAGGGAAGCTAAATCAAAAATAGACACAATTTATGTACACAGCAAAATAATCAAAAAAGAAATACATATGGGATGGTAAAAATAACCAATAAACATTTTAGAGGTTTCCATGTCACTATTGAAAAAAGAAAATCAAAATATCTGACTTACAAGAGTTGATCCATAGAAACTTAATCTTGATCTGAAAAATCTATTCTCTTCTGAAAGTAAAATGTCTTCAGCTTTTATTTTTCCTGGGCAAGCTCTGGACCAACCTTTTTCCCTAAATTCAGATTCATATTATCTTTCTAACCCCTATACAACTCAAAACAGATTGTTCCTATTGTATTGATGAGGAATTTCAAAGACTGTCATCGTTAACAATGTCTCCACGGTTGTTCTTGGAAGTAGCTCAAGAAAAAACTGAGTAGAAGTAAGATCACTTACTTCTTTGCTAAGATCACTTACCAAAAACCACCTCCAAAATCCCCTTTTATAAACAGAAACTATTTTCCAAAGGAAGAAAAGGAAGGCTGACTCTCCACTGTGTGCATTTTTCCTCTAATCAACTGGTCAGAAATGCAAGCTTACAAACTTTAGAAAAAAACAAATGAGATTTATTTTGCCACATTTTACTTTTCCTTTGCAAAGGGTTATAGATATTGAATGTTTTTACTGCTGTAACTTCACACAGAAAGAAATGTTTTCATGGATGCTGGTGAATGCTAGCAGCTATTTAACCCTTCACATTAGTCCATAACTGACATGAACATATGCTGAAAGTGTTTTCTCATTTATTGAGTTACTTTTAAAAGCCTAAGATCACACTCAAGAGAAAACAATTAGACTAGCATAAATTTGGTACAGTCAAAATGAAGATTACATGGCGCAATTAAACCTTTAAATTTAAAACAGCTGGGGGCAGTTCCTTGGTTTTTTATGTTTTTAGGACGTTTGGCAACTAATACTGAGAAAATGAAGCTGTACCAACAAGCATAATCGTAAGAGTTTAATGAATATTATGCACCATAGGATGTCTCTATTTACCTCTAATTTCATTCCTCCCTGTAGTAATTTCTAACACTAACATAGTGTTAGATAACATAAATCAAGGATTTATTGAGATTTCCTATCTGTGTAGACAGTCTCCATAGCAAAGAATAATTCATGAAGTAAAAATTCTGGTATTTCTTGGCTATGGTCAGATGGCTGGCTGTGTCAAATGCTAGGACACATAGCAGTTCCATGTCAGAATAAACCCAAGCCTAATTAATACTGAGACCTTGCAACTTTGCATACCCTCTAACACTTTTCCCAGCTGTTACTGGAACAATTAGAACCGGAAAGATAATATTCTGGGAACAAAAGTAAAGACTTCCCATCCACTCTCCATACTAGTACAGTGAGAAATGTTACTGCAGATGTAAAAATTTAAAATTATTTTAAAATTAAAATTATTAAGAAATATTAATAAAATGAAAGCATTTTATTTCTCAGTCAAAAAATTCAGAAAATAATAATTCCAACCCTGCAATGAAGGAATAGAAGGGTAAAAACAAAAAATGAAACAGAAAGGAATGAACTGCTGGAAGAGGTAAATCTGACTAAGAAGGCAGAACTGGACAAAAACTAGATTCCTACCATCCCATTTCCTTATAACCTGAGGAAATAAATAGCCTTGTTTTGCTGTAGTATTTGAGAAAGCCAAGACAGTGTTTCAAAAAGCACTACACTGGAAGACCATCCATGTAAGCCACAATTAGGAATGGGAAAAATAAAGAAAATATCACTGGAGTAGTTGAGCTGTGCCCTTCCAAAAAATCAGCAGGTCTGATAATTTGATAATTACAAGAAAAATAATGTATTTCGAAAGACAGACTGGAAGACACACTGAATATCAATATAGATAAAAATCAGTCACATGGAACATAAACAGGATTTTGAGAATCTTACCTAAAAACTAATAATGCCAGAATTAAGCAGCTTAAACACTGAGAAGCCATATTAATAGCCTGAAGAGAACCATCTTACTTTCCTAATTACTTTAATTCTAAGTTTCAAGAAAAAGTAACTTCTAGTCTAACACCACTGTCATGTATGGACAATATGGATACTCCAAAGGGAGATAACCCGAAAATAAGAGTATCAAAACATAAGTTCAGAAGTGTAAGAAATACAAAGAATGTTCAATTGGTAATACAATAATGCTGTATTATAAATTTAAGTAATTTGAATATAATGAAAACCAGGCTGACTTCACTAGAGAGCAGACTAATCATGCATAAGTCATGCATTTTTTGAAAAAACTTTCCTCAGGAGTGCAAGGAGAACACACCTAAATCAAGATAAATGAGTAAGTAGCAAATTACTAATAAGGAGTAAATCACTAATCACACATTTTTTTCAGCAAAGAATAATTTTTAAATGAATAGAGTTCAACTGTTATTATTTTAATTGTTCTCTCAAACACATACTAGGGCAGCAAAGCTTCCCTCCCTTAGCTCAAATCCTTTCTAAAAAGACGTAAGAAACACCCAGATTGTCTCCTCAAACTATTTCCTTTTCAGTTTGCACAAGGTGTCTAATCATTAGAAATCAAAGCCTTAAAATTAATGCCTCTTGTCAAAACCCGGACTATAATACATATAAATACATTATGAAACACAGAATATGTGGTCAGAAACCAATTGCAAACGGGACATACAAACTTACAAGGAACAGACTTCTCAAAATGAAGAGCAGTAGTGTGCAGATACTCCCATTAAATACTTTCAAGTTTGAATTATTCCGGTGGCACGCTTTCTAGTGAGAATATATGGAAAAACAGATATCTGACATAACAGCTCTTTCATTACTTTTGCCTAATAATATGTATGAGGTAAAAATTTTGAATGAGTAAACAAACTAATCACTGATATTAGGAACTGCAAAACGAAACCACATAGCTAGGAGAGGTGCTCCAAGTAGTCACTCAGACTATTTATAAAAAAGGTCTGTGACTGACATAAGGTTGGAAAAAACATGTGTTACTCCTAGGAATAGATTGTCTTAATATTCTACTTAGCAGACAATATAGCTTTTATTCCTGCTCCTCTTCTGAAATTCTAGACTCTCCAACATAAACAAAAGGAAGTAAGTGCTATAACAAAACTACAGTCTATAGCTCCAGTAATTTTGTCACGTTTCCAGCCATTAACTTCATATCCTTCAAAAAAAATCCTCACTTCATTGTCTGAAACTACAGTCAGGAATCTGGCAGCATGCGTTCTCCTGATTTGCACTCTTTCCTGTGTTTGATGTATATAAAGAAAAAAGTCAAATAACTCAGCCGAACATTTACAAGGGTTAATTGAGAAACACATGGCATGCAAAGGAATGTATTTTGGCGTTTCTTCATGGAAGACAGACCGTTTGCATCATGCACTATCATTAATGCTGAACACAGCAGCTACCTCTCAAAGAAGCAGGGAATCTTTCCTATAACCAGCCCTGCTGAGCGAAGTTACTTGACTGATGAACGACAAAACTCAGTAACATTCACCTAGTAAACACTAAGTTTTCAGATATATTAGGAACAAGAGCACTTCCCTGTACAGTCACATAATCACAAAATTCAATGCAACTACATTATCAGATGTACACAGCTGGAAAACAAAGTATAAGAAAGAAGTAGGAGCTACCTCATCTGAGAATGGCCCACAGTGTCTTTTGGTCCCCAAAATCAATTTATCAATAGTGTGATCTATGTGAATTCTCAGATACAATCTATTCAATCTCAGTCTACTACTTAAAACTGAAGATTTCAAATTAAAAACATTCAGAAAATGAACCCGTTAAGGAAGTCTAACCTTCAAACCATTCCTTGAAAAATAATAGCAAGTTTAATACTAGTATTCTCTTGACGATCTCTTCAGATGTGGATGACACTTTGGAAAGTGGGTTTTTTTGACCAGGCAGTACTTGGAACTTTTCTCCTCATTGCTTCAGAACAGCCTGTGCTTTCCAGCTGTAAGACTGTGTCTTGCATATTGCTTCAACAGCCACACAGGATGACTACACCTTTTTGACCCCTGTGGCAACACAGTGAAATCCTAATTTTCCTAATGTGTGGTACCCCTTTAAAATCCAAGGGCATTACTCCAGAGCTCACATTAAGCATGAAGTGAACAGAAGCAATTAGTTCCCTAGAAGAAATAACCACAGTGTACTTTATGGCATATGACGCAGATTTTACCTCATGGTTTAAACTTAAATTCTCTGATTGTTATAAAACCTGAGGGGAATATCATCAGCCAAAACAATGGCCTTGGAAAAAGTTACCTACACTTGAGTCACACTTAATCTGTACTTGTATGTAAGTTGTTACACTGAAATTTCGCATGCTGCAGAAGCATCCAGCCTCCCTGTGGCTTCTGCTGAGAGCCTTCTCAAATGGAAAGACTTTATTACAAATGACTGAAACAAGAAAAGAAAGGAAAATACATTACTTGATTGCAATCCAATTACTTAGGTTAAATCCCTACGTCTTCCTGCTGCTTCAGGGAGCTAACTATCAAGAAGCTAATACAGAATGAGAACTGTCTCCCTGTAACTAAGTACACTATAACCAGTGCTACACCAGTTACAAATATGAAATACAGTAAGTTAAGAGGAAAGGGCAAATGCTGATATTGTAGCAAGCTGTGGTGGATATCACCTACAGTTATCTCAGTTAACCTTTGGATCTCAGCACGTGTTGGATTCCTCACAAGTCCTTTTAAATCAGGATTTGGCTTTCTTATGTTTAAGACAGGTTCATTTCTTCTGCATTTGAAGTCAGTTACTGGGAGCAGAAGAAAGAAATGTATGATAGCATTGTATGAAACCTGATAGCACATCCTGGACTTCAAAGTGTTTAATGGCTCCTTGTGATACCCACAAATGCAAATGTGAAATGGAAATACAGGGAATAAAGTCTAAGAGGAGGAAGTATACTAACAAAAGCAGCAACACACCTTCAAACTGCTGCCACCAAGGAAAAATCTGCATTCAGAAACTGAAAGCAGAAGATGGACTGTCACACAGAAGTTACATAGCCACAAATGGATGTCAAGAAATTTGATACTGCCTGAAGGTCAGCATTGGTGTAGAGAAATTAGGGCTCTCAAACAAGTTCAAATCTTTTAAACATTTGCATTTAGCAAGGATAGTGACTCCAGCTTAATCTGAAACTGAGTTCTGCTCCTCCCAATACCCCTAGGTTTTCTCCCTGCAGAAGTATGTGGGTCTTTTAACTATTGCAGCAATTTAATTAAATACTAGACACATAGCTGGGGTGGGGCCTGGTGGTGGAAGAGGTGGGAGAAAACCACTATGGAAACAGCTCACCAGTGCTGTTATCTACAAAATCACAGAGCAATCTGCAGTACCTCCTACCTGTGGCAGTCAAAGCTGGTAGAAGAGCTCTATTTAGTCAAAAGGTAGTTACCCCTCTGAAATTACTATAATTAATTCTTGCCCAGAAAGGGTAATTTCCCTTAACTGTACTCTTTGCAGAAAGAGCTCTGTCATTTTTTCCTGTCACATTCACTGTAACTACACTATTTAAACAAGAAATGGAAAGAGGAACGAATGAACACTGAGTCGCTCAGAGGAGGAACACTTTTATGAAATCCAGAACTGTGTATCAAAGCACTTAGGTATTGTACAGGATTTGTGATGTGTAAATCTAGCAGCACCGCTGCTAAAGCAGTGGTTTAAGTTTTCTCACTTAAGATAAGGACAAGCCCTGCCTAACCCTTTAAGAAAAACTAGTATAGGAGAACATACTGGTCTAGGGGGTAGAGTACACCAATTCAATGCATTACAGGTGACCTAGCCCTCAACTGTAACTTTTGTGGTGTTTTTTTTTCCAAACTGGAAGGATGTAACAGACAGAAAAGCATCAGTTATGATTTGAGAAGTTGTGCACCTGTGCCCACCTCTGACATATAGCCCTTCCAATCTATTAAAGTAATTTTGATGGCTTTACTGGCACCAGGTTTATGTCTTCCATTTTTAAGTAATTTTTACTCTATTTCAGATAAAGATTGTTTTTGTGTCATCTAAGAATATCTGTTGTAGGAAAGACAGAGCTGAAACTGTTACCCATGAGAACCATCATCTACCAGAGATAAAAAGGAGAAGAGCTTCTCCAGAACAACACTGCAAGGATAGACTAGAAAATGTCAAGTACATCTGGCAGCAAAATGCTTAATCCAAACCTGAAAAACAAAACACCCACACACCAGTAACTGTGCAGGGCATAGTACTCACAGTAAGATATAAAGCTTGAAGAAATGGAGTGAAGTGATAAATTAATGTATTTATGTAGGAGAGAGCAACTGTGTGTCAAAGCACACTATGATGTTTCTACTTATCCACATCAAGCAAAGAGGTGGCAGAATACAAGTGTTGTCTATAGACATCAGAGGTAAAAACACTAATGTATGAAAACAAAGTGGTAGAAGCACAAATGTAGTTATCATTGGAATGTGCGTGTTGGGTAACACTAAAGCAAAAAAGGTAAGACCCCAAAAGAATTGTATTGGGAACATCCACCAAAAACTTTATCATTCATAAATGTACAAGTTGCACTTTCCAATAATTTTTCTTTCCAAAAGCTTTAACTTTTTTACTGTCTTAGACTGAGCAGCTTAACTGTGACAATCTTGCCATATTATGCTTCTGTGCCTTACTTAATTTTGTTGGCCAAGTGTATACAGCTTCTATACATAACCATCTTGTAGGAGTAAAAAGATTGTCTCCACCTGGTGAAAGTGAAGTACACACTAACAGAGGTCAATCTTTGTTTAGTAAGACTACACTTCGAAAGAAAAATCAGAACTGTTGTGAAACATTTTCTACTTCTGTAGGTCCAACTCCCAAAAAATAACAGCATCCACAAAAAAAACCCCAACAAACCAACATAATTTCATTGCAACAGTTACAAACACTATTTTAGAAATGTTTGCCCTATTCCTCACTCATATATCCACAGTGATGTAAAATCCGATAGTATTAAAGACAGGTCTTTGAAATCACACCATCAAAGACATTAATTTCAAGGAAAAATATTTTTGTTTGGATCATAACAGCTAACTATGTTATCTTCAAATGTCTTTTGCAATATTCAATACAGTACTTACATTTCTACTTCCACCATTTAAATTCTCTAACATTTTAAGTAAAATGCTTGAAGTTGCAGATATGGAATCCAAACTTAGCATAGAGTCAAAAAAGTGCATTAAGTTGTATCTATTACTACTACAATGAACAAAAAGTGCTCTGTGTAACTCAGATGCAGAGTTACATACTAAAATACGTAAACTAGAAATAGCTACTCTAAAAAAGTGTTCCGGAAATCTACATTAAGTTAATATTGAGTATACTTTGCATTCTTCTACTTCAATCTTACATTCCACAGACTACAGTATTTTTACTAATCTCAGTATCAATAATTTAAAATACTCAACTCATTTAAAATTTTATTCATTTAGAAGCTTAACTTACTGCTTTAACACATTATTACCAAAAAAAATCTGGAACAACTTCTCAAGCAAATGAAGTGGTGTGAAGCCTGCCCATAAATACAAAATCCTTTCAAACTCAAGGTTTTCCACCCACACACTGCAGGCTCTAGAATTTGTTGTGACTAGAGAAAGGACAAAAAAAAACCCCGAACTACCTTGAAAATAACCCCACTCTTAATGCCCTCTCTCCAACTCAGGATCAGTTTCAAGTCCTCAGTCACTATGTTCTCAATAACAAATCTCTACTGGAAGTGCAGATCTTAAGTTTTGTGCACTATTACTCAATTTGGAGTAAATAAATAAATAAATAAAATAAAAAATAAAACAAATCCAAATTACATAACAAAAATTTGCTTCAATGGGAGCTCGCCTCCAGCTCTGTTTAGAGGAATTCCATACACACAGGAATAATTTTTAAAAAATACCTTACTTGAAAAAGCCAACAGTAAACCCTTGGTTATATAGTTTTTTTTTCCTTATGTAAAAGGATGTATACTCTTATATAGAAAGGATATTCTTCTAAGGAGAAGATATTTATACTTTACAAGTATTTAGGCATAAAAAAATCATTACAGCAAATGGATTTGCTATATCCAACTGAAAAGTGTTATAAATTTTTTAGTATTTTTTCTTGGTTGCAATATTGAACTTTCTTTCTTTGATTCCAAGCTTCTTCAAGAAATTCTTGGTTTATACAAACCAAGTAACAATATGTGATGTCCTCAAAATAGTATCAGGAGCACTTACTCATCATACTTGATATGATAAATAGCTTCTTCATCAGTGTCCATACTCGGGTAACATTTTCTATATGAGCTTCAAACCAGGCTCCAATGCTGATATCACGGGCATCCACCAATTCATTTATCTAAAAGGAAAATTCAATAATGAATTTATGCTTATTTTATATATTACCAATTAAGAAAAAAAATAAATCAGAAAACTTCCTATGCTACTGCTTGACTTTATTATCAGTAAAACAATCAACTGTAATAACTAGCTGCAAGTTCAAGTAATATTTAGCCATTAATACTTTTATTTGCACTTTCAATACTTTACTACTCTCTCTTCATTAAAATCTAGTATAAATATAATTTATATGTAATTTAAAAAGCAATGCTAACTAATTTTCTTCAGATCTGAAAATTAGCCTGATCTCTTTCATTGTCCTTTCCTCTTGTTTCACCAACTGCTCTTTATGGCTGTGAAAAACACACACGGTATTAAAATGCTAGCTCAAAACCAAAGGGTTTACAGACCTTCCTGAATCTCCAACCTGAAATTATTATTTAACTTTCTACCTTTTTGTCCTGCAAGATTTTTTTTAATCCTTAAAGACTCAAGGACAGATAGGAAAAAAATCTAACAAGGTTGCCACCACAGTCAAGTGTGACTGTAAGAAATGAAACTCATTTCCAGAATTTCTCACTTCTATACTCACAGTATTACTGGTGTTAAGAAACCAAACCACTTTACTATTCTAAATCATGTTGTATTTTCTCATATGTTCAGGTAATAAATGGATGTTCCTTTTTACTGAGAACACTGAAAGAAAAGGTTTATAAACCACTTCAACAGTACACCAAGTATGATAAACTTATTACAACAGAACTATTGCAGATAAAAATTCTTTAATTATAAATATGAGACACATGTAGATATGCATATACATAAACACATATATGGTACAGTCTTTGTCAGGTACCAACATTGTGCCAGACAGATACTTACTCTCACACACTCCAAAGGCTAATTTCTAAGACACGGATAACCTTACTGCATTTTCAGTAAGTTTTAGTATTTAGAGGGAAGCAATCCTTTGGTATCTGAAAGGTATCTGACAGCAGTTTGAGCTAACAAGTTTATCCCATTAAAGGAATACTTCCAGTTTTACTCTTGCCATTCCTCTTCTTCAGATAAGTTCCCAAACTTAATGTTTTGTTCTGTCGCATATGTAAAATACCAATGTGTATTTTTATTTTTAATTTCTCAGAATCTACAGTTTTCAAAGTACAGCTTATTACCAGGATGACATTTCAGCCATACGATAAACAAATTAGAAAAGGACAAACTTATTTTAAATCTATCAGTCTACTTTAATATAGACATTATAAACACAAATATACAAATTATTATATTAATTTATGTTAATTATTAATTATTCAATATTATTAAATATTATTTATATTACATATAAATACATATTAAATATAAACAGTGAATTCTGGCACTTCTAGAAGGAACCTTCATGAAGGCATCCCTATGTAATCTTACATGTTTGAACTAGATGCAGCTCAAAGTGGCGCTTTACTTTCTCTTCTCCAAAATACAGCTGAATGAGATACACACTATTAAGGATTCCCCATCTGCTGCTACTTCTTCCAACCACTTATGGAAGTGCCAAAAAAACCATGTTAGTCAAGTTAAAATCCATCACATCCAGCGCCAGAACAACAAAAAATTGAAAAATAATAATAAAGCAATACATCAATGCAAACTTCCTCAATCATTCCTCTATAATTCATATGTAATTTGATGCGAATAATTACACAATATATTTCCCACACTTGCAAAGAGTAAGAGCAAATAATTATTACCACAGACTTCTGAAGAGCATAATACAACTATATTGTGTGACTGATGTTTGGTTTAAGAGATGTTTTATTAGTAGCTATTTGTGAGCAGTATTAAACAAACACTGATTTTAATTACAGAGTCCATTTGTGTGGTTTTTATTCCAAGCTAGTGATCTTGGACAAAATGTTTTTACTGCAGTCAGTGTCTTTTGAAAAAAAAATTGACCACGTGAGAATCAGAAAATAAAACACACGCATGCTTCTGAATGAGCTTTATTTTTTCTAACTTCATTCCTGCACACCCAAACCACTGTTACTGTAACTGCTCTCTTGCAAATCATCCTGTTATTCTTCCTCTTTCTGGCCATTGCTTAGCCAAGACAGTGTTGTTCACTCATGCCAAGTCCATCTTGAGATGGCTTCCCAGTTCTTAGACCAGACACCACTAACAATTCTTAGTAACAGAAAACAAGAATAGCACATAAATCCATCCACTACTAGTCTTTCAGAACCCATGGAACAGTATCAGATGCCAGGTACAACTGGGATATAAAACAAGCTAAAACATCCTGATTTACATAATATACAACACACAGAGGAACTCTGTTTAAACCACTATTTTAACCACCTAACAATGATTTAATTATTAACTTTTATTTCCAATATCAACACTACCATTTTTTTAAATGTTTTTTTAATTGCTGGTTCCATACCATCTAACTTTATTTCTGGTAGCTGAAATCAGAAAGAGAGAGCAGGGCGCAGAGGTTCAGACTATCTACAGTATTGAATAAGCAACAGGTATCTTGTTGAGTCTAGCTCTGGATGAAGATCCAACAAGGCACTGGACTTTGCTCAGGCAGAATAAGTTGTAACAAAACGTTTCTTACAGTAAGTAAACTATTCCTTATTGTTTGACAATGAAATGCAGAATCACTTAATATACCTACCTATTTAGCCACCTAACATGCCTTACTTTATTAGGCCCTAGGCCTTTTTTACCGACTTCCGTTAAATAGGTTTATAACCTTTGAACTACAATACCAGGTAAAAATACAATCTTCAAATACTGTAATTAGAAATCCTCTGTATACATTCATACCATTACCTATAAATAGCAAATAGTGAAGTGACTATACATGTTAATTTTTGCTTAGATATATTGAAAACACGACTGAAAAAGTAATCACTTCACAAGTAATAAAGGGGAAAGAGTTAGGTCTCTGGAATGAGACATCACAAAAATTTCAGCTTACTTGACAAAATAGTTTTCCTTGAGTATGCTTGCTGATATCACCATTCTCTGTCATATTTTCTGTTTTAATCCTGAACAAAATGACTAAGCTAAGAGACTACTTGATATTTAACACATTGAAATGTAACATTCTTGAAAAATAAACATTTTAGAACTCTTTTCCTCAGATTGGCCTATCTGCTGTGTTCTCCCATCTCCCCATCCTTTCTCATATTACCTTTTACACTCATTGATTAACTGTAAAGCTTGAGAACTGAAGAACTGGAGTTCTTCCTATTGTAAAAAATGGACATAAAATATAAGCACACAAGCCTGTGTCTCCATATTCAAGCTACTGATTTTGTGACTCCCTGATTCCTCAGAGAATGAACAGAATTCTAACTGAAATTACCTTGCATGCACACGTGGCAGCCTCTGCTTCATTAAGGCATGAGAAATCTGGCCGAGAATGAACCTGTGGTGCTCCAGCTGGTCCTCAGAGATCAGAGGGCTGGGTGCCACTGGGCTTCATATCTGATTAATTCAGCACTAAGTCTGGTTGTGTTCAGTAACATCTACAATCCACTCACCAATAGTGCAGTTTATTGAATCAACCAGGAGGTGGGTTCAGGATTGCCAGTGAACAATGAACTAACCACAGAGTGTTAATATATGTCATGACAGAAAGTAGTACTAACAGAGATCTGCCAGCACTACAAATATCTATATCCATATATGTTAATAAGTATCCATATATATTATTACATATTCAGCTATAATAATAAATGCTCCCAAACATTAATAAATATTCACGTGTGTGTTAATAAATATTCCTGAGTCTGCTCCAATGCAACTGGGAGGTACAAAGCCTACCTAAATGTGCCCCTTCAGGGGAGGAGGAGAAACATGGTCCTCCAACCTATCCCAAGCAAATAGAGGTGTTTTCCCCCTCTGTGTTTTGACCCAAAAATACCCCTTCTGTATTATAATTTTTGGTCCTACCCGAAAGGAACGATTTCATGTTATAGGTGGGACAGTGGCCACTGGGGTCTTACACAGATGTTCTCTTTTCGTCTGCATTCCTAGGTTTGTGAAAGTTAAAATGCAAATAAAGATCCTAGTAACTTTTGGTCAGAATTTACTGTTGATACAAAAGGTAAAATAAACACTTCGGTCCACAGCAAAGGCTCCCTGACCTCTCTGTCCCATAGCCTTTGTGCAGTCCATAAAGAAAACAGACTTTTAATGAGGTTTGTTATACATGGCAAAGGGGAAGTGAGGCTAATGGCTGGTACAGGCGCTCCTTTATACACCACTGTAACAGCACCGGACCATGCAGCCTCTGCTTCACTCCAGGCATTGCTTCATCCTTAGGCCTTGCTTGAGCCAGGTACTAGATAAGACAGAGAGAGACCCAGCTCATGATTTTCTCAGACAGCTTTGTCAATTCTTCAAGGACTTGAGGCAACACTGTAGCAAGTCTGGCCATTTACAGCAACCTCAACCTCCATTTCCTTCTCTGTAATTGTGGGCAGTTTCCAGGAAAATAATTACTGTTATGGCTATGTCTTATCTAAGAGAAACACCCAAAGAGGAGGTGAAATGCTATCATTCCCTACAGAGAGATATACATAGAGAGATATATATTCGTATACACACATTCTACTAAACATTTAATAATCTGGAATAGCAATCTGGAAACTGGTCCTTTTCTGTTTAAATTAAACTTCTGGTACAATGATGTAATCCTTCACAACAATACTGAAAAATTCAACAAGGTACAAAACTAAATGAATACTAGGTATGCAATTCCTAAAAAATCTACATTAAAAAAGGTATCACTACATAACATACAGCTTAAAGAAATTGTGATATTTACACAATTTGTCTACTTCTAATGCAGCACGGAAACATTAGTATTAAAACAATTATTTGGCCTGAAGTAAAAAGAAGGGTAAAAGCTACACTTCAGCACATTTTCTTTATCAGTTTCTTTTGTCCACAAGAAAGTATTCGTTTCAAAGATACTTAAACATTTTCAAGAATGTATTTTGAAGAACACACTGTGTCAGAGTTTGAGAACTCTCCTGAAAAGTGAGACTGGTACACGGGACATGCTCATGACTCTCCAAGAGTCAGTATAAATTATATAAATTTCATTTAAGCTGAATTGGGGAATTAAATCATAAAAGAAAGCAATGAGGATACACTCTTTGATGCAATAAAACAATACATTTCTTAAAAAAATAATAATAATAAAAAATATTAAATCTACAGGCAAGCTTTTAAAGTTTGTACATACCTTGTACAATCCAATGCCAGGATCAATGAGAAATGAGCGAGATGATGTAGATGGCTGACTGGGTGATCCACTGTTTGTTTTTTTGACTTTATTCTTGCAGTTGGAAACAGCACAGGGATTGACTTCTCCATCCTGATCTGCCACAGATGTAGTGGTAGGAGCTTCAGAATCAGAACGTATCAAAAGCTGAACTATGTCATTTAGTCCAACATTGTAGTCAAATAAAGTGTGTCCATCTTCTAGCTGTCAAAAAGAAATGTGTACTCATAAAACTCCACCTTAAGGTACCTAAGTAGTTTTTATATCTTCTTTTTATAGACAATAATTGCACAGACCAGAAGAAGCAAGCCATATCTTACTGATAAATAAAAACCTGTGTCTTGAGTATCTGAGAAAACAAACTCCTCAAGCTAACTGCAGCCATAATTTCATTCAATGAAAATCAATGGAAGGCTTAAAGCTAGAAACAGACATCTCTACGGACTGATGTCACCTACCTACAATTAAGCTAAGAAACCAAAAAGTGGCAAGTTGTGCACCAGGAAATATAAGAAACAGTATTGCTGTTTTGTTCAATTAAACACTCTTAATGACCTAAAGCATCTTTGAAGATTTGATTCACCTGAAAGTATAATGCATTGCTTTGAAATAGCAAAATTACTATTAGTTACACTTCACACCACAGTGAGAGAAAAACATGCATGACTAAAAAACTCACGTCTTTCCAAACTATTTTAGCAACAAGAAAGTTATCTACCCTTTTTTTCACGAATAGGTGTTATTTTCAACACCAGTTGATGTTTCATAAATCTTTTGAAACAGAATTACTTCCATGAGTTTATAGGTAGTATCTGTACCATGAGAAAAAGGGAACAAGAAGGAACAGAAAAGAAAAAAAAAGAAGCACCTCTCCAGTTTCTCACTAATAGCTTTCTCTTAACATTCAAACAATCTCAGGTAGACAAAACTGGAATCTGTATCTTTCTCCATCCCCTCTTCTTTTTCAAAACAACTCTAAGGGGCAGAGTACAGTTATGAACAGAAGCCAAAAGTCAAGCAATAACTAGTTCTTCCTTGAACTTAAAATCTTGCAAAAAAATTAACTCTCCTTACTTCTGATAACTACTGTACCCACATCTGAGACCTGTAAACAGTAGTATTCATAGTTTGAGTCAAAACAGTTAAAGCTAACACAGCTGTCTGATCAACAGCTACAGAAAAGAACCTTACTCAGCAGCCCATTTTCAAACCACTTCAACACACAGCACACAAAACCATACTGAAGATTTTCATGCTGGAACTATTAATGCAATGCAAGTCTTAAAGCAGAAATCTCCAGTAACTGTAATTGTCCAGGTGACAATGAAAACCACCTCATATGCCTAGCCTTTAGGCTTAGTACTTCATATTGTGAAGCAAGCTGCCTAAGTAACCTTTTCTGTCCCACCGTAAGTTTCTACACTTTTTGCAACTCTTTCACGAAGGGCATAGAAGTGTTCTTGCAGCCCTATTACAATCCAGATTTGGGGGCTTTTCACACCACAAACATTTTCACTGTTAAGAAGTTTAAAGCATTATTCTTATATTCAAAGTACAAATAAACCGAAAACAAAGACAAATAATGATACTGCAAAGACACACTAGAGAGGATACCCACATTGCTACTGCTTCTCATCACTACTCCAGGCCACAGTTAAGATTAAATCCCTCCCAAGTGATTTTTCTTGGTTGCAAAATGGTTAAAAAGTTCAGCAGTACATCTGCAGAACAGACCACTTCAGAAATAATGAATAAATTGGATGTTACTGGAGACACATAACTTCTCCCTTTTTCTGTTCCAACTGGACTGTACAGGCTGTGGCAGAGATTACAGTGTTGTTCGTAGAATCCTGTGGTATGAGGAAATCTTCTGAAAGATAATGTGCTGGAGAAAAAAATTTTAGGTTTGCTCCTAGTAGACCAACGGGATGTAAGCAACATGCAGATGAGCTCTGCTCTTCTGCTTTTGCTCCTGCTCTCTCAGGATAGGTCCTGTGCAGCCTGACAGAAAAATATTTCAAGGTACTTCAGTTTAAAGTTAATTTAGTCAAAATGTAAATGTGAAAACTCTGAATTAGCTACAATAGGTAAATGTCCTATGTCTAGTCTTTGCAACCTATTCTTCAGTTATGACTGCAGATTAAGTTAAATTATTGATCCACAAGTAAGTCTTCCCATTAGCAGGAAAGGTAAAAAACTACCAACTTTAAAAAAGAGAAAAAAAAAAAAGGAATCTGTCCAGGAATGGTTATATTTAACACACACAGAAACAAAGACAAAAACAATAACAAGGCTAGCCCTTGAGTAAGAAGCTGTCTTCCCCAACAACACACACCACCACATCCAGACTACCTATTCCTGCACAACAGTAAGAGAAGTCTCCTCTCTGCAGGCATTCAAAACCTATCTATCACGTTCCTACTAACCTGTTCAAAGCTGCCCTGCCTTGGTGGGTACAGTTGGACTAGAAGACTTCCAGAGGTCCCTTCCAATCCCCTAAATACTCTGTCATTTGGTGAAGTCAGCTTTGATGAACATGAACTAAATGGGTCAGCCAAATAAACTCATGACTACAAAGCTGTCTAATTTGAAGACTAAATTTATAAAAAATATTAGACTATTAAATGGTTGAGAAAGTGGCTGGATGGTGGCATCCGGAAGGTAGTGGTCAATGGCTCAAAGTCCAAATGTTAATTAATTAATCTGCATTAATGACACAGACAATGGGATTGAGTGCACTCTCAGCAAGTTTCAGATGACACCAAGCTGAGTGGTGCAGTTAACACACCTGAAGGATGGGATGTCCAGAGAGACCTGGACAGGCTGGAGAAGTGGGTCCGTGGGAATCTCATGAGGTTTAGTAAGATCAAGTGCAAGGTGCTGCACCTGTGTCAGGGCAAGCCCCAGTCTCAGCACAGGCTGGGGTGAACAGATCAGAGCAGCCCTGCCCAGAAGGGCTTTGGGGTGCTGCTGGGTGAGAGGCTGGACATGACCCAGCCATGGGCACTCTGAGCCCAGAGAGCCAAATGTGTCCTGGGCTGCATCCAGAGCAGTGTGGGCAGCAGGGCCAGGGATGGGTTTCTGCCCCTCTGCTCTGCTCTGCTGGGACCCCACTGCAGGGCTGCATCAGCTCTGGGGTCCCAGCACAGGAAGGACATGGTACTGTTGGAGAGAGTCCAGAGGAGGCCAAAAACATGATGGGAGGGATGGAGATGGAGCACCTCTCCTATCAGAAAATTGAGATTTTTCAGCCTGGAGAAGGTTTAAGGGTCACCTAAATGCAACCTTCCAGTTCCCAAAGGGAGCCTACTAGAAAGATGGAGAGGAATCTTTTACAAGGGCATGTAGTTGTAGTAACAGGACAAGAGGCAATGGCTTCAAACCTGAAAGAGAACAGGTTCAGATTAGATATTAGGAAGAAATTCTTTCCAGTGAGGGTGGTGAGGCACTGGAACAGTCTGCCCAGAGAAGCTGTGGATGTGATTCCACCATTCCTGGAAGTGTTCAGGGAGAGGCTGGACAGGGCTCTAAGCCATCTGGTCTGTGAAAGGTGTCTCTGCCCATGGCAGGGCATTTTGAATGAGATGATTTTTAGTCTGTTCAAACCCAAATCATTCTATGACTCCAAGACCTGTCCAAGTGATTGTGATTTGTTTTTTCCTCTTTGTTTTTATCATTTATACTCTTTGCAGGAATATTTTATGTCACAAGATTATTCTGTGACTAGTGAGGTCACATTTAAGTCTCAAAGCACAGTAACAGACATAAGATTATTATAAGCACACTTCACACGCGGCAGGTTGTAATGTCGGGTAACACCATAGGGAAAGAGCTCATGTATGAGCAACTGTATAAATTTAGACCAACTCGACACACTGCAACAGTGTCTGCTTCTAGAAACAAAGTAGAGTACCACAGAAACTCAGTAGAATCCATCACCTGCTTTTTGACTTGCAAGAACTGATATGTGAATCTGCAAGTATACCTATGCCTAGCATTACTTCATCACTGACAACTGAAATCCTTACAGTAACAAAGTTGAAAAACAGTGTTTAAAGAAATCTATTTCACATAGGAGAGCAGAACTATATAATGGCTTTTCTTTAATTACAATAGACAATTTTATCCCATTCTGCTGCATAAAGACACTATGAAGATTCCCTAGAAATATGTTTGCTTGGACAGCACATTAAAAGGAAAGAAACAAACATTACGTGTTTAAAAAGTATTTAAGGTCACTTGTCATTCACATATTTATATACACAAATGAGAAACAAAAGTAATCACATAAGTATCAGATAATCAACCTCCTTAAACCCAGCCATGATTTCTTAAAGGGTGATTAGAACATGTATGAGAGGAAAAATAACTGAACAGGCAATTTAATTTATAAAATGTTACCAGCTCTTCTGATTGTACAGTTGTAAGAAAAAGATCACTTGTTTCCTTAGCAGTAGATTTCACTTTCAGTTTCAACTCCTCTTACAGACTGGCATGCTTCAAAAGCTTTTAAGGATTCATTAACATATTCTGAATAAAACGTCACCAAAGAGCAAATAGCTTTACTGTATCTAACACTCTATCACTTTTCTAAATATGTGTAAGTTGATAAACAGATTCAATCTTTCAAATGTATTTTCATCATCATGTGTTACAGGCACTGTCAATTTCAAAATAGTCCTAGAGAAGGTTTTTATAAATACTTAAACGTAACACAGCACTGTTCTTACACTACTACACAAGAGCAGCCACAGCAATGCAATACTGGAATTGATACCTACCTACTATCACTGTTAGAAGAACTGTCTTGAAACATCAAGCCACAAATTACTTTAAAAGCATGTAGTAGCTGCACTTAGATGAACATGAATAATCAGAGTGTGGTATGATACTGCATTACTTGGGTAAAAAAATTTGCCTGACAAGTAATTTACCAATTACTATCACATTAACTACAAGTCCCAGCAGAAGGGCAGCTCATTATGGCTTCTACAGAATGTAGAGACCACCCAAGAAAGCATGTAATAATTTTTATATTTCAATGTGTGATCCAGAAGCAGGATGACCTTAATCCAGTCATTCACCTGACAGTCAAGATTTTTAATCTCTTATGAAAGTGTACCTTTAAGCATCTTCGGAGGTTTTCTTTTCCAAAAATTGTGCCTGTATCTGGCAACACAGATGAAATAAACTATAATGAATGC